TGGTTCGAGGCAGGGGCATCGTTCTTGCTTGTATCGGCGGCGGTAGCAGCAGCATCTTTGGCAGCTGGGACGACAGGTGTCGTTGTGTGAGACCGTGTAAGGAGGAAGAAGACAGTGAGGATGAAAACCGCTGCCACGATGGCACGGCGAGAGTTGAGCATGGCGGCGACGGTTACGAGGCGACTGTGATATCGAAACGCCAGGTATGTACGAAGTCGCAGTCTTTTTTGGAAATTCGTCGATAAGGAGCGATGCCCAGGATAAGGGACAGGGGTAGGAAGCGAAGGTCGAGAAACGAAAGGACTGTGCTATAATAGCATAGAAAAGCGAGCGTGGCCAGGCAAAAGCCAGTATCAAGAAGGGAACAAATAGCAGCTGAATGGGACAGAAGAAGAAGTTTTAAAAATGTATGTCGGCCAAATAACTCGATCGCAGTGGACAACAGTCAAATTGAGGCGAGCGAGGGATGAATCCCCAAAGCCAGGGGCCCGCAGTTGGAGACGGTGGAGCTGACACCGAACTAACTTAACAATCGCAGCGAACAAGTCAAGTAACTGGATGGACCCTGGACAAATTGAGGTCGCGGCGCAATCCAATTATTTCGGTATGCTACAGTAGCTGTGCAGTAAGCTCACCAACGGCGCGGTCGCAAAGCGGAGCAGCCGATATGCTGGGAGTAGATTCGGCCAATAAGCAGCGAGGTGAAGATGAATTGAAAGTGAAAGAGGAACCGGCCTTTATCTGCTCATGGATTGGTATCAGGAACTTTAGGCTCGATGCGGTAGGTATTAAGGAGAATAGAATTAAACAGGTGCAAAATGGGTTTGTTTGATGAGGGTTTGAAGAGAGGATTATATTCGAAAGATGGAAAGGCAAGTTAAGCCTCCACTCGTCGTCAATTACGTGGAACGTGGAGAGATCCTTACTGGATACCATGCCTTGCGACGGAAGAAGGCACGGAGTACGCGGCTATCTTTTCCTCACGTTTTCGGTTTTCGGTTTTCCACATGGGATCCAGGAGCTAAGATGGGACGAGGAAGGTGCCTTGACTTGGATGACAGCAAGCACAGCCAGCGCCAGAGGTTACGATTGATGGAAGTGACACGGGCGGCCCGCTTTCGTGCGCTTGATTAACAAGTCTCCTTGAAGACAAGTTACCCCTGAAACTTGATGATACTGTGATCAGTAACTTGCTATGGTGGATGAATCTGTAAGGAGTAACCGTCTGGAAGAAGCCGTTTCTTGTGAGAGGACACCGCTGTAACATGCGCAGCCACAGGGGCTAACGTGCAATAGCGAGTAAGGTCCTCGACGCCTCCTGATCAATACGGATTTAAGAGAAAAATGATATAGCAACGAGGCTATCATCGCCAAGAAATTGTGAGATAAACAAACCAGACTTCAACAGAATCCATCCTTGTCCATCGAATCAAACAAGTTTGCCCTAATCACAATTTTGACACCGCAATGCGCCCCCCCAACCCATTTGGTCCAATTGAGATCTACCCTCATCTCGATCCAGATATGTTACCTGGACGGTTCGCTGACGGCACAAGGTGCAACAATGGTGCAATAACTTCACTTGCCAGACCGAGCTAGACTGCCACAGACAGAAGATCAAACCCGTCAGGAGTGCGGCCTGCCGTTTGCCGGACTGTGTGCATATATCCTGGATCGCAATTCGTCTCACCAAGTGACGCATCTTGTTGATCGCGAAATACAGTGCCACTTTCGAATAAGGTTGCAGAACAAGCCTTTTCTAGCGTTACGTTGGAGATTTCGAAACAGGCGAGGGCAGGGGTTGTCCGTGGAGCATCTCTGTTACAGCCTCTCAGTCGCTGCTTCGAATCCTGTTACAATGGAACCAGCTTGCGTGTCGGCGATCAAAGGACCACGATCATCGTGAAAAGAGCGGAGACTGTTTTTAAGGGGTCCAGATAACCCCCCCCCTGAGGGACGGAAAAATGAACGCTTTTCGTCATGAGCGAACCAGGAAATATTTGGCTTTCGACATGGGTATACAACGTGATTTGGCGACCGTTCCTGAATCTTGCGAGCGGTAAAACCTAATTGCACCTCACGAAGCAGTTTGTGTTTCGCATAGGTGAGCAAACATCTGACAAAGTTCTCATCTCGGTCTCAAGTGCCGAGCTCCTCCGTTTTATTCCTTGCAGAGACTCGGCACATGGCAGAAAAGGTGGTATTGTTTCTGCCAAAATATTGAAGAGGCATAGCTCTAGACATAGTAGCCTCTGTTTGTGGTCTGTTGTTGTGATAGGCAAGGTTGAGATACGAATTGGAATGATGCCAGAAAAGCCAAGCTCGACTTCAGTACTTCATGCCGGCAAGCCGTAGCCAAACGTCATATTATCAGTGAATAGGATTGTATCTTCCCAGCGAGACATTGCATTGCCGGAACCTATGATTACAATGTCGTCCGAGGTTGTTGGTAAACATTGCTTTTCCATTGTTGCTAAGCATAACATCTTGTGATCTGTAGAAATGATCTTTACTGACTGTGTCTGGCCAGCTCGGACTTACTGTAAATTATAATTACATATCCATGGTGCTCGTAGGATCTATAGAATAGCCTCAGCCCAAATCCATGTGCAGCTCAATTTAAACACCGATGCTTGCTGACGAAGCACTAAATCCGCCGGTGCTTGTTCAGCAACTCCATGGGCAGTATCCTTAGACGCGCGCAGAAACAATTCCACATCCCAACAATTCTTGTTTGTTGATCAGCTTTTCAGATCAAAGTCAATTCTTTGCCCGGGATTAAATCGTTATCCACGGCGAACTCTTTACGAATCCGAAAATTTGGTTACAAGATTGCCGAGGTGGTAGGTTCGGTATCAAAATCATGTTCTTGACAAGCCATGTATACGCCTATGACAGGACACGACATAGGGCGCGCGCGGTAATAAACGCCCTATTTGTCTTGGTGTTCTAGGTGGTTTTAGTATCATGGATCTTAGCTTTCCGAAAGTTAGCGGCCCATATGACCCGTTCTTGTTAAATCCGTATGTTGAACATAGCTGTGAATCGGTATGAACTCTGGTTTCTGGTGGTTTCGGAATTCAAGATCTTAGGTCAAGTGGCATTCCGTTTTCCTTTCCGTCTGCAGCTCGACGTAAGTTAGCCCTCTACATTGAATTGGATGTCACCCTTGATGGAGGGGAAGCTTTTTCTTGGCACAGAGTAATCATGATGACCCCAGCCATGAGAGGTCGAAAGCGAGCTTCCCGCCCCCATTTTCGAAGAATGTTGTACGACATAGAGCTCGAGGAGCTCTGATCTGCATAATGTGTATGTTGACAACGTGCAGAGGTGCGTTATCGAGTGCTACCATGCGCAAACTGGTGGATGGACGTTTTGTTGTACACCAGGAGTAAGATATTCATAGAAACAAAACAAAACAAAACAAAACAAAACAAACCGATGCCGGCGGAATCGGCTGCAAGACCAATCCTCATGATGACGGATCCTACAGCCCTAGCAGCTGCATCATGATTTTATTCCTTTTTGGGTAATATTCCTGGACTTAACGTCCTTTCAATTTGTCAGCCCAGTATCTACCTCTAAGCTCCGGGTTCTGACACAACGGGCTTTGCTCTTTGACCGGCAGCCGCCACAACGAAGGGATTCAGATAAACGTTTAATGTATATTAGCAACAGCTTCCAAGAAATACCAATCTTGGCTGACTCTCTCAATGTCCACAGACAGAGTTTAATTGACTAATTATCGTCGTTCGCTTGCCACACCCCCGGCCTCTCGGTTGTTGTGGACAGTCCGAGGATGCCGAATGGAAAAGCCCCGCTCTTCGGCGGACTTTACACGGCTTAAGTCCCAGCGTCTGCATAATCAATAGGGCTCTTCGGCTCGGGTAGGCACTATTTGTAAAGCATTCAACTGCTGTGGATGGAACAGGAAATGTTTCCAAAGCCAGATTAACTCACCATGTCAAGATCTGGGGTCACATATAGGTGCATGTACTGGTACCTGTACCTCGAGGAATAGTTAGTGCACTAACTGCAAAACGAAAGCCTTCCGTCTTGTCGGGTCTGATTCTTAACATGATCTCCACCCGGATCGGCGATTAACCCACCTTTTCATGTCTTCGTCCGGGGCGCGCCCTCTAAAGCCGCGGATATAGTCTCCTGTACTGGTACAATTTGCTCTGTAATTGGACCCTGGACAGGTCAGCCACACCTGTAGGAGTTCTGCTTAGTAGTGAGTTGGAACTTTGGCCTCTCCCGCAAGCTACAGTACAACCGCAGGACTTGAGGCCTAAACCCGCCCATGGAATTTGGAGATTTGCAAGCATGACAAAACAGGCCAGAAGCCACGCCCTTGTTGGACTTGGTCGTACTGTAGTTGTAGCTGAAATGTAGTGTAGTTCAGTAGTTGCAGTACGCCCTACACGCCCCCCTAGCCTGAATTCTTACTTTTTACGGCATGCCATGGGTTGGATAATAATGGATGGATCTCGTTATCCGTTGTGTTGACCTCCATGTTTAAATGCCTTGGCTGATCCTATCCTGCCTTGCCCTGGCCTTCTTGTGTGTTTACAGTTCATCATTTTATCTCTAGTGTATTGACCTTATTATATCTTGCGAACACGATCTGACCAATATTCGAAATAATTAAGGCTCGACCATCATTATTAAACTTCGCCTTCGGGGTTCGGGGATTGCGACACTTATTGCATCCACAAACCGCTTACACAAGCCAAGCCAAGCCGACGGGACCATATAATAGTTGCCGCTCCCGCCATCAATCCGACTCGGTATCCGCGAGCAATAACGTTATATAAACCAACTCAACCGTCCTTTCACTTTTACAAGCCTCAAACGTTTCAATTATTCGACGATAGTACTCAGATGATATCATAAGGTCTCCAACATACCCGACTTCTCATATTGCGACATTAGATAGCCATAAGGCGTCTCATACAATACTCGCTTCAACTTCAACGCAGACACCAAGAAACTAAATCATGGCGACCGAAACCGACACTCTCTCATTCTCGTTACCCACGAGTACCGCCCCTACCGACGTTTCTGAATCTACATGCATGCCTCACTCGACTCCCTTTTGCCAACCCTCGGAATGCCCAGCACAGAACAAACCGGCCGAGTGGGATACAAGAATACCACCGCTGCAACCTACCGCGCAGTCACAAGATTCTGGATCAGGAAGTGGTTGTTTCAACGATGGGGGTCTTTTATATAGAGTTCAGGCTGAGCGTGAATGTCGAGAGGGACCTGGCAAGTAAGTTGGAGGGAATTTCTCAGAATACCGAATTTGATGGACGTTGAGTTGCTGACTATACTTTGGTATTGCTTAGAACCGTTGAAGAGGCTTGCCAACGCTCTCTGAACCACTTCCCATGCCCTGGACTCGCCTTTCCGATGCCAGCCCTCGATTTTGACTTTCGAATCGCTGTTCGTTTAAATCAAGAGGCTGTTCATGTTGACTCCGGCAACACCAAGGAGATCACTACCGTAGCAGCCGGAGTATGGTCCGGATCTTTTGGCCACGGCCGCGTCATTGTGCGTTTCCTTTTTTTCTTTTTTTCTTTTTCCACGCCCCCAACCCTTCTAGATTCTACGCTTTTATCCAATTCGTGACTGACTGAGGAGGATTTTATGTGTGGCGTATAGGCAGGCGGATATGATCTTGGCCAGGCACGCGGTTTTAGGCCCATGAGGCTTGTTGAGGGCGCCTTTGTCGTCCAGACAAGTGATGAACAGCCCGCGCTGTAAGTTTCATGGATTCTTATAAGTCACTAGATCTGGATTTAACTCATTCGTCAGACTTGAAATGCGCACTCGCGGTTCTCTTTCAGGACCTGCAGATGTTCTCGACACTCTATTAAGCCCTCGGGCCCCCAAGGATATTGACCCACGACGATATGGATTCCGCATGTTCGCGACGTTCAAAACATCCGACAAGCGTTACGCCGAAATCGTCAACTGTGGATTGTGGGTGGCCAGTGGTGCCTGGCGTGGCGAGCACTTGGTTATCGAGTAAGTCCTTTTTTGAGTCACAGTCCCCATCTTACAAGGGCGTGCCTAATCACGAGACGCAGTGCCTACCGTGTTACATAAAAATCTCCGTCACAAGCAAGCGAAAGATCCGAATGACTTGACAGAAACGACATTTTAGCATTGCATAAGGGATCCTGACTGGATAGCGGATCCCTCGGCGCACTACAGGAGTTGGTCTTTGACAGCCGAGTCAAATTTTGACCGGCTAGCAAATAGGAGGAAATGGACGGATGATGACGATGCATTGAGCGGCGTAGATATCTTGAGACTTTCCCATCTCTTTCTTAATCCTCATTTGGGCAGTGATGAACTGAATGTCCTGCCAAATCAAAACCAAATAACGTTATTTGACGCCAAGCTGACATTCCATCTCGATTTTGGTGTATGTAATTCCATGCAGTACCCACGCCGGACTCTTATTCGGACCATGATACACCGACGGTGTCATGAGAAAGGATTTCGGAGATATCATTATCAAGCAAAGAACATTCTCCTCCTTTGGCGGCTATTTTGGGCCAATTCTTCCCAGTCGGTCACACCAAACTTCTATTGCTTATTAGGACTATGCCCGAATGTCAGACGGCCTTTGATTTGGCTCTGATTGATTGATTCATAATCACTGTGTCTCGAGCTGACCCAAATCATCCGGGTCGGCGGCCCCCAAGCCCTTAACTCCTCGATCCTCGAAGTCAACTTAGATCTCGGTACTGTCAGATTGGCTTGTTTTGTGTGGCCGTGGTGCATACCCGCGCATTCCGACTCGGACGCCGTGGACTTTGTTCTCTGGAGAAAGTGTCAGCAAAACACAATGCTAATCCAGGATTTGCATGCACGGTTACTTGCCTCGTAGATCTGATGCAACACAGTTTTGCTGCCGTGTCCCTGAATCCTTATCGCCATGCCTGCGGACCTATCTCACTTGAGCTTAATCCGAACTTCCAGACAACTAAGCTTCCTCAGGCGACTCTGATCCTCCTCGTCTCCACCGGCCACCACATCATCCACGGTGCCGACGGTTCCTGTCGTGATCTCCACCTCGCAGTCTCCCTCCTGCTCAAACCAACTCGCGACGGCGAGGGTCTTCTCAATGGCTTTGCCCGTTCCAGTGAGTGTCACGACAGCACTATCCGCATCTCCACCGCTAGTTCGCTGCAGCGCCTCGACACGCGAATGTAAGGACGCGTGCTTTGGTGCTGCGCCAGTGGTCTTGAGTGAGGCGTCAAGTTGTTTACGGGCGCGTTTGACCACAGCCATGAATGGTGTCTTTGACGACACGTAGATGATGCGAGATTTGGATGATGCTGGAGGCTGGCGCCTGGTTAAGGGGCGTTTCTCGACACGGGCGCCTAGGAAGTGTTATTCGCTTGTTCGTAGTATTCTGTGAAGACCGTACCTTCTGAAATAGCAGGCAGCTTGTTCAAGGTGCCATATACCTTGTTTGGAACCTTGGAAACCTCCGTTGAAGCCATCTTGTCGTTTTTTAATGAGACTTGGCTGCCTGATACTGATCGGCAGATGAATCTTCAGAAGAACCTTTCAGGCAGGTATTCGAACAAGTCCTACTTCATAAATGCCAGGAGTCCTTCTTTGATGAATTGGTTGTTTCTAGCCACCTTAGTGTTCAAAGACGCCTGGATATCGATGATGCCTAGCGTGAGTAGAAGTTGAAGTGATGAGAAGAAGGCGGAAGTCTCATAAATGGAAATGAAGAGTAAAAGTCCTTTTAGATACGGGCACCCCCCACTACCTCGATACTTTCATAAATAGCGGCGAAAAACGACCTTCAACTTGATATCTTCTGGAAGAATTTGAAATAGATGTTGAGAACAATTTTTATAAGAGGTTAATAAACTTCATACCATTATGGCAAAATCTTCCATCCAAAGTAGAGGATGAGAGCGCCACAGATCTGTGGCGCTGCCCATGCAACCCAAAGGTAGCGTTTCTAGCGCAGCGGCCCGCTACAGACGCACCTTCAAGCTGCCGTCGGAGCTCACCTAGAGTCAATACTTTTTGGGCTACTCGTCCATCGCCAACTCGCTCCTAATCAGTATCAGTCCACCATCGACATAACCTCGTCGCCGCCATCTCCTCTCATGGCTGCCTACCTACCTCTCCCCGTAGTATCGACCAGCTAGGCACCTATACAAAATGTCCATTGCAATCTGGCCTCCCGTCTCGCCAGCCGAGCTCAGACTTAAAGCCTCCGAAACCCAGGTACTGCGACCTCATGCGACGAAGCGAAACGAGAGAAGTCAAGTCGAGACAACATGCTGATCTATTTTGACAAGGCGCGCGAACTCGATTGGATCGTCGGCGAAACACTCGAGGTCTGTCGCGATCTTAAACATGGCCTTGAGGACTGCTATGCGCTCCTCGCGCCTATCGATCCGGGCAGTACACTCGTCATGAGTACGCCGCGCAACGAAAAAGTAAAGGGCACACTCACCCGTGTCGGTACTCGTATTGTTAAAGGCGTAAGGCTGCCTGTTGAGCTCATGTTCCCCTGCATGCAGCTCCAGCCTCGTTCTGCAAGCTGACGTCCTCCGATCACAGACTATACATCTCCAGCTTCGAACAATACCCCCACAGACCTTCTCCCTATCGCAGTCTAACGCTATCCATATCCAAGGCCTCGATGCTCTACACGGCTACCTAAACCAGTCCATCGATCTCCTCGCTATTATCTTATCCAAACCACAAGACGCTAGTTCACTCGCCTCTACTCTCAGCATTCTTGCTGATTCTCTCTCCGATTCATCAGCTATTCTCAAAGGACCTCCTTTGACAGACTCCGATCCCGCTTGGCAGATGTGCTCATGTCCACCAGATCAGTTTGTGCCATCAATTGGGCCCAACCTCAGCTTTTATCTCGGTCTTCAAGAAAGCTGCATAATTCTGTGGCTACGTGCTCTAGAACCTGTTCATGCGCATGTTCATTTTGGCACCAAGCTCGGTCTAGCCTTTGGAACTGTACGTCGGCTGGAGCATGACGAGATGGACACCGTTTTCCGGTATAACACACAGGGGTCCAACATTGGCGGCTCGAAGCGGGGCAGTGCCCGCCATACCCCGGAGCCAGGATCGTCCGCTGCAGATGTGGATAGTGATGATATTCAGGAAGTGTATGTCCGGGAAAAGGTACGCGTCGAAAGCGCAGATCCGAGTCTCATATCCATTCAGTCCAAGCTTAGCTACCTCAGTCACATGCTTGGCCAAGCGCGAAGGAACATTGCTGAGGTCCTGAGTGTTGACTCTTAGAAGTGAGGGGAAAGGCCATGTGAGCAGCTTTGCATGTAAACTGATTGGATACCCTGGCGTTGAGGTGACAATGGATCTTATTGGGGGGGGTTTCACTCCCAAGTTTGTTTTGAATTATGGCTTCAAAGACGTTAAAATCGATATCACTGCATGCCGCCATGTTATGAATGCCGGTTCTTCAGTTTCAGATGAATTTGTAGAAATCTAGATAATACATCTGTCCATGCAATCCATAATCCACGTTCCATCGCTCCTCCGCTAAAACCGTAAAGACTCTTGACATAAAACAAAATGGACTATGCTGTGAAAACGCAAAGAGACAGCCTGTAATCTTGTACAGGAGGTATGTTCAGCCTGGATTTGACCAGGTGGGTGAGATGATCAGGATACTGTGGAGTAAGAGCGGCGGCGGTGTTGTCGCTTAGGCATTTATCGAACAGGAGACCAAGGCATAGGGACAAGAATCCTTGACTTCATGCTCTGGATAAGAGGCACTGTCTTGTGGACAGTGTCGCTCCAGCCCTCGACCTGCCAGCTCTGCTCACGGCGGCCACGGCGCTCCTCAAGATTGGCAAACTGCCATAGATGGTGGACTGTGTTAAGGTCACCAATCTGAACGAACCAAGCACCAACACCCTCCATAACCTCACGACGGGCTTTGAGACCTCGTCGCCAGTGTGTCTCCCACTCGAGCAGGTTACCGGGGTGCAATGTGTAAGAACGCAGCTCAAAGATACCGCCGAGCGATCGTGGGGGAGTGGTTGGCCAGAAAGAAAACTCTTGCATGAGAGAGATGTTCTTGGAGTTGATCAGGCCCTTTAGCTTGTTGTCAAAGTCGGCAAATTCGGGGTGGTGAGTGATTGAGTATCGGGACTGGTGGTAACCTTCGTATTTTTGGTATTCCCAGATGTGGACTGTTACAGTGGTTAGTAGTTAGAGAGCATGGTAAAATAAACCACAACTTACCGAAGGTGTCACAATCGCCAACTTCTGTCCTCCAGCTTCCGACCAGGTTCACCTTGTTCTCGGGGGCGTTGGCCATCTTGGGATACCATTTTCCAACAAGATCGACATACTCATCAACCTTCTCAGGCTTGACTTCGTGAAGAACGATCGAATGGACGTACTTGCCACGGGCAAGAACTTGACTGAAGCTTGCTTCGAGCTGAGCATCGAGCTCACGACCCTCCTTGGTACCGTAAATGAGGTTTGTCAAAGGGCCCGCCTTACGGGCAGGCTCAGGCTCCTTCACCTCCTCAGAGCGTCCTACATGGTCATTCTGTGAGCCCTCGACCGAAGTGTGGAAAGGAACGTTAGCAGACTGCGGGTGAGAGGGCAACGAACTGGCTTCTCGCTTCTTCTGTGCCTCGACCAGGTGATCGCGGAATTCCTTCTGCTTCTGACTGAACTTATCGACCTCTGCGTGTGTAGGGTTGACATCTCCCAGCGAAGGTGTACGACCATTAAGGACAGCAGTCGAGCTCAAAGCTCGCACGCCTGCGTGAGGAGTGACGGCAGCGGCGCGTGCAAATTGGCGACTGAGCATTTTTGGGATGGTTGGAGCTTAGAGCTTTGGTTGCGGTGAGGAATGGAGATGTAAAGTCTCGAGGTGGATGGGGCGCAATTCGTGTCTAATAAAGCTGACACTGGCGCGGGCGCGGGGAGATTGCGGGCGATCTTCCAAATGACAACAACTTTAAAACGTCAAACGTTGGAGTTGTGCGGTTGTAGATCTTGGAGGGACCGAGACAGACAGGGGAGATGCTGAAAGGAGAAAATACACCGAGGAAACGGAAGCAGAAGGTCAGATGCGGCACAATTGGTGGCAATCAAATGCTGGGAGGGCACAGCAGAAGCGGGAAGGCAGGCGTTTAAGCGTCAAGGTGGTATCAAAGCACCTTTTGGTTGAGATTGCCCTGGCACTGGCAAACCTAAGGAGGAGGGCGAAGCTGGTGGACGATTGGGCAGCTGAGAGTTGGAGGGACGGAACGGCTTTCGGTTACACGCCCAGGAATGTATAATTCACCCCGCACTTATTGGGTGAGTTTTGGTTGTATTCAACGACGAGTATGACGAGTACAGACTCTATGAGCCTTTGAGAGATAAACAAGGACAAAATAGGCTGATTTGATTGAGGGAGACAGGAGTGATGAGATCAGATGGTTTATAGTACGTACACTCCCTTCTTAAAGCTGGAGCTTAGGGAGCTCTCTGATGATGTCACCCCAGCTTAGTCGTCACGTGTAAAAGCTTAGCGCGTCAAAGAATGCGGGGTTCGGTTGGGCCTGCTGTTCCTCAGCTCTGGCCAGGTACGTACTCATCTTACTCAGCAATTCTCAAACTCTCTGCCTTAGCCTCAAGGCACACAGAAAACCATCCGGGCTCGGCTTCGGCAGAACCCGCTCGGAGCTCTGTCTTTCGGAAAAAGGCTCGTTCTGTAGCAATCTCAATCTTGAAGCGATACAGTCCATCAAACCGAACCTACCTCCTACGATACCCACGAAATCCGTCATCATGTCTTGGCTCGGTGTTCAACCCCTCAAGAAGTTCAACGCTCCCTTCTGTACGTTCAATTGCGACTCGTCCGCCTGCGCCGACGTGAACGTATCCCGCTGACTCCTCTAATAGTGAAGCCTTACTGGCCCTTCTTCGCTGCCGGTACGTGAAATTACACAATTCGTCCGACGAAACGATTCTCTCCCGATCATATACCAGCGCCCCCGACTTCGATTGATCTTTCGATGAGTTTTGGACAGCAATTGATTCTTGATATAGGTGTTGTCATTGCCTACGGCGTCAACTCTGCCCAGTCCGCCATGATGAACTGTACGACCCCTATAAAGTGAGCACAGAGCGACGACTAATCAGATTTAACAGCTGCCGAGTGGAAGAACGACCCCCGCAACCCCAACGCCAAGTCTGGCGGTCACTAAGTTTGATGGAAAGGAAATGGGATTTCGTCCAGCTGGCACGCATAATCGATCCGCTCGAACGCGAGGCCATGGTTCATGAGATGGAATTGTATCATAGAATCGCGAAAGGGGCTTAATTGACCTATACAACGATCATACGAAAGTTGCCCATGGATACAACTGCGAACGGCGAATACCCTCGAACTCCGGATGTCCGATTGTGTTGGAAATCAAGACCGAAGTCTGGTCTGGTTTATGTGATATGTGCAAAACCCTTGACTCACTCTGAAATCTACCATCATGCTCCGTGGTTTATTTCTATTTTTGTGCAAGGAATATGAACTATGGCCCAATACTCACCGCGACATACTGGCTATCAAGCTCATGTGGATGTAGCGGTCCATCATCATGGCCACATGCTATCTCGTTTCTATACTGACTTTGTGCTGTGGATGGCTCTATTTCATGTGAGAGGATCCAATTACTTCCATAGACCTCTGAATATAATTCTCCTGTAACGAGGATCATGCGTCAAGTCATGAATTTGGTGGCAAGAGTGATACTGTATTAGAAACTGGTCTTTCATAATAGACCTCAACTATCAGGTGAAACTACGCATTTAACAACACATGTTTCAAAGGCCTTGAATAGCCAGCCATTGTTGGATTGTCGACAATGTTTGTAGTGGGGATAAAGTGCCGTCATGTTAAGCAACGGCCGACGCCCTTTGATTTCTCCCACTGACAAATCATTGTCATTATTGCTCTCCACGCTCGACTCATACGGCCTAAAACCTTCTTATCAACACCGACCTAAGTCCGCTTCAACATTTCATCATTCCTTATAGATGCGTCTTCTTCCTGGTATTCTTTCTGCTGTTAGACCAACTGGAATTACGACTAGACGAGCCTCATCTTTCACTTTTTCTTCATACAAAGTTTGCTTATCTACAATGACCGCTACAGCAGCAACCAAGCCGAATGGCAATGGAGGGAAGCAGGAGGTCAAGATTCTCATGCTTCATGGTGAGTCTTCATGACGTCCATGTAAAGAGATGCATTTCCATATCTCTTTTGGTCATGTTCAGCATACCCTGGACTCGCCCATAATCTCACAAGTCCCTCACTGACATTTATTTCCAGGCTTCACACAATCTGGCGCTCTCTTCCGTGCCAAAACCCGCGCCTTAGAGAAGACACTTGTCAAACTCCTGAATCCCATCTCAATTCTCCCTGTCTTCCTTTATGCCACTGGTCCCAACCGTCTAAGCCCAGAAGATATCCCCGGTTACCAACCCCCTGAAGAGCCTCAGCCCGAGGACTACCAACCCGATACCTGGGCATGGTTCCGCAAAGATGAAGCCACAGGCAACTACCGACTTTTCGACGAGGGGATGGCTACCGTTGGACAGGCTATTCGGGAGGCAGAGGGCATCGATACAGTGTGCGGTTTCAGCCAAGGTGGTGCCATGGCCGCCCTTGTAGCAGCTGCTCTTGAGCCGGAACGCACTCTGCCTGAAGGAAAGGAGGGAGACTGGGCGAGAGGCCTTAGAGAGGCAAACTCTGGAAAGCCTCTCAAGTTCGTCATTTCATACTCCGGATTCTGGGCCACTCCCGAATCGCTTCAGTTCTGCTATGAGCCCAAGATCAAGACACCTTCATTGCACTTCCTGGGCAGTCTCGACACAGTGGTTGATGAGAGTCGAAGCCGGGCTCTCACAGATCGTTGTCAAGACCCCCTTGTACTTGTTCACCCAGGAGGTCACCACGTGCCCGTGTCCAAACAGTGGGCAGCGCCGCTGGCTGGCTTCATCAAGGAGCATGGCCAAGATAATGAGCCCAAAGCGGAGCTGTAAGGACGAGTTCTGTTGAGGAATGGTTTTCGCTACGACATTCTCATTCGATTATTTGGCCCAAAACACATATAGACTAAGACACACAAACGAATAGATAGACTTGATGAATACACCAAATGCCATGTCATATATCCTCATCCCGAGGACTATCTAACCTGTATAATTACAGACCACCCAAACCGTCATGAATTATGAACCGCTCTATCCTTTACTCCTTAATCTTATTTAGCAGGCTGGATTCGTGCCATCATCTCCTCCTTGGTGATGAGATGATCAATTCTCTCCAATAGTCCCAGGAGACTCTTCATGTTGTGACTCCATTCGTTGAGAACATCGTCAGCATCTCTAGGCTTTGCGAAGCTCACAATTCGTGCGGGTCGGTCAATTTTGGCGTAGACAGTCTTGGAAGTTACAAGCTCGCTAATGTACTTCTCTGTCTCGTCCTCGGCAAGATCAAGGAGCTGAGTCAGGCGGCTCATCTGGATGCGAGTATAGTACTTGGCAATAACTCGGACGTTGTGCTCAATCACTCGCTTTCGCAGATCCTGCCATCGCTGGTGGGCCTTGTCGTCAGAAGATTGGCCTGGTTGCGCGTCAAAGACATCGGTACTGCAGAGGTGAGGGCCGAATCTCTTAGCAATCTCGGGCCATCGCATCAACTCATGAACAGTAAAGAGTCGCAGAAGTTCTGCTTCAGCTGGGACTTCGGAGTTACGGGTGTCTTTGTGGATTCGGTGGAGAAGATCGTGCTGTTCGTTGTCATAGGGAGCTAGGATGACAAAGTAGATAATGCGTTGCAGGACCTGTGGTCAGAGATCAGTAAAGCGGATTGGTACTTCAAAAACAGTCAACATACAGGTCGAAGTTTGGCTGGGTCTTCCTCAACTGCTTCTGTGTCTAGAACCTGCCGATAGTGCTTGCACACATCGAGGTACTTCTCCTCGTGTTTGGCAAGGATGATCTGCTGCTCGTAGTAACGTAGCTTCAGATCAGTTGTGTCGTCCTCCTTCTCCTCGGGAACCTCCTCGCCGCGGGCTTTCTTCTTTTCACGCTCCTTTTGCTCCTTCTCGAGCTGCTCGGCTGTCTTTTTAGGCTTGCGAGAAAGATAGCGGGTGCTGATCTTTCGTCCTAGAATAGCAGCCTGTGTCCAGTCTCCGCTCTCAATGCATAGCTCAACTTGCGCCAGAATGAACTCGGTCTTTTCCCGTCGATCCATTGAACCAAAGGTCTCGACTTGCAGCTCGCAAAGAATCTCGGTGGCGGACTTTAGATCACCCTGCTTCTTCTTAATGTCGGAAAGGATCTTGGTGACACGGGCTCGTTCGACTTCGACGAAGATCTTTCCCTCTGTTACTGTTCGCAGGGTCTCGATTACAGAGAGCTTGGTCTTGAGGTCGGGAGTGTCGTCGAGGAAGCCCATGACGGTCTGGACCATCTTGGTGATGGCTTGCTTGAGCTGACTGTGCTTCTTGGACAAGACCAAGGTCTGGTCGTTCAACAAGCTCCAGTCGCCCGCATTTTTGCATAGTGTGACGATTGCGATCAGGACTCGTGATGTGGACGCAAGATCGGAGGCCTAGGACTCGATTAGCGGAGAAGAGGAGTGAGCAGGCGTGTGCCAATGCATACTTGTCGGGTTTGCTTCTCGAGCGCAGCAAGCTTCTCAATGGCGCCTTGGAGGTTGTTGGACTATATACAGCGTCAGACAAAGCTCAATATCGGTAACTCAGAGCTCAAAAACCCACCGCGGCCAGCTTCTCAGCTTCGGGAAGCTGCTGGTCAACCTCCTTTGAGAAGTCCTTCTCGGGCTTTAAAACTCCGTCAGACATGGTAGCGGTGATCGCGATGTAGCCCCCTCAAGATCTGTAATTGTCGGAAAAAGTCTGAATTGGAGGGTTCGAGTTCAGGGATTGTTGATGCGTAATGTTGATGCGATGAGTTTAAGGTCGTGGGGGCGTGTTTGGTTTAGTCCAAGCTGGTCGATTCAGTGACGAGGCTCACGCAAGAGGCTCCTGCCTGCCTGTCGCTAGGTCCCCACCAAGCGAAGCAGGGCCGGGACTGGAATTTAGTGGGACCGATTCCGGATTCTCCGTTATCCAATTTCTGGGGCACGTGACCACCACTAACATGACCTCAACTGAAGCAAAGACAATATCCTGTGACAATCAGGCTTATTTCGAGAATCCTGTAAGTGCTTCTTTTTTACCGCTCTACAGACCTTAGGTTCCCAGCCTAGATTGAGGCACCTTAGTATATGTCCATTCTCCAACTTTAGGGTAATTGAGTACTGATGCCTATACTCTTTATTAACAACCAAAAGGACTAATACAGATTTAAAGATACAAATTCTCTTGAAATTAGAAGGCAAGGCTGATACCCCTAAATCACATACTGTGTCTCGGTTTCCTCAGGTCTCTGCAAGCTCTATTACTTAAGGTCTTTAAGTTTTAGAAATCCCTACATACTAGCTTCAACTTAACATGTTTATTTAAATGTATCAATGAAATTAGGGTTTAAAGAGGTTGTTATAAGAGACAGATCAAGATTTGAATTATATTTATATTCCGTAAGCACCTAGACTTAGTTAATAACTTAACCACATATCGTCTTGTTTGAGAAGTCACTTAGTGCTCGGCCTGCCTCCGCGAACTCATATAAGATGATGGATTGCATACGGAAAGTCGCGCAGAAAAATTGCAAGATAGGAGTAGACTTGATGTCATGCGGTAGCTGTTTGATTGCCCAGGCTGTATGTAAAGAAGCTATTAAGGTCACTCCACCAATAACTTGACATGCAGATATACAGAACACGGCGCCACTGTTCTTTGATTACAATTTACATTTGTATGACATAATGGGCAGTGGGAGCTCTAAACGAAGTCTAAAGGAAGTAAAGCCTTCAAAGGGAAGACGTTGCGCGCAAACCTTGACAAGAACAGAGAAGGAAAGATGTTTTGATTCTGATACGTGGAGTTGCGCTCTAGAGTGCCTGGGGCTCTCTTAATGAGCCAAAATCGCGCTGCCCCATTGCAGACTAGCTACAAGTGTAATTTACTCAATAAGGACGCAGATAGTTCTATAAGAGGATGCAAAAGGTCTCAAGCTACCTTAGTTGTTTAAAGCGATGCGAGCCAAGATCATAATGCTCAAACGCCATCTACAGAATATAACATGATCCTGGACTTGGGTATTTGTGTATTTATTCTGAGCCAGTCAAGTTTGAGTTACCAGAATGATTGGCTTATTGGTGAACCTAATAGTGGCTCGAATGGGGTGAGTGAGCGTAGCCTTGATATGTAGGAATTGGGGAAGTATTGTAAGTGACGTATTTAAAACAATGTATCTTTGAAGTATGGATAAAGGAGAGTACTTGTCATTCCTGCCAAATTGCTGCATCTAAGGTACCTGAGATATGAAATAGGTTTATAGCTCAAAAATCAGGCAAGGTTTGTTAATTGAATCCCTTATGCCTTGGAGTATAGCAGTTTGAACCTCTTCTGTTTCTTACTGCTGATTAATTCTTCTATAAAGAGAAAATTCCCACTCCCATTACCTATTTAGATGTCTTAAAATTGATGATATTGCAGGTTAGCAATAGTCATAAGTTTACATTCAGAGATGTCCTCTGAGACTATGGTTATCATATACACCTAGTAGTATGCACTGAAACCACATAAGAGCCCATTATATCTCCATATCCCCGTTGTTCAACACGAGTTTCCAGCTTTGACGTTGGCCAAAACCCATGATCAATCGAGGTTCATGTAAGTCATTCTTGAGAAAGGAGCCAAAGTAATTGAAGTGCAGCCTGGGGAATACATAACTGCTTCATACGAGACTCTGGAAAACATGTAAAACGACTCAACAGGTAGCCCATTGAATAATCATTCGAGAAGTATCGATTCTATCAACCGCCCGTAATTACTTGACCAGTCTGCAGGATGATGTCTGCTGGTACAAGCAGGGGATTTTGCTTCGTCACATAACATCTCCTGATGTGGCAAATGTCTTAGGAAGCCTCTTTAAAACATGATACAGAGGTTCATGCGAATATACCATTTCAGCCGTGAAGCCCATTTACTTAACTCCACAGCCACAGGCATTCTAATGATGCCCAGAACTGTCCTGAATACAGCCAAAGCAAAGGAACAGAGATCCCACTCAGGACAGTCCAGGTCGATAATATAGATCATCTGTAGTGGTTTCTACAAGTCGATACATGCTGATTTGATTCCAAAAACCAGCCGTCGCTCTCAGGCCAGAACCCACATTGAGGTCCTAGAACAAACCGGAAACACGATAAGTCGAATCTTCTACACGAAGTAAATACTAATAATCGTTGCAGCTCCGATAACAAGGTGACTCTGTGTGAGTTTGTAACACGCAATGAAACCTGGTGTAAGAACTTCATAATATTGCTTGAATAGAGGGCTCGTACTGGTGTTTGTTGGCTGACTGTATGGGAAGTGCGATCTAGTACTCTACTTCTTTAATTGTATTTTATCAGGATCCGTCAGCCATACAACAATAGGGATTCTTGGGCAGGCATAGCTTGCACCGTCCAAAGCCTGTCGAGTGAAATTCTGAATCATGGACGCTAGCCTTGGCCAGGTATATTCAAGGGGACCGAAAGGCGAAGATCGAGGGTTTCATCCGACATATTCAGCAACTCGCAGACACGGAGTGATTTTAAACTTCTCCGGCCAAGAAAGTCGGTACATCTTGAATTGGGCTGCAGACAAACATGCAACCAAGTGACGTCCAGTAGGCATTAGAGATATTAGCTTTCATCTCCGATCATAATTTGCTGTTGCTGCCGAGATAGAACTGCTAATGGAAACTTTAGATAAGCTGTAAGATAATCTCTTTGATCGATTTTATTTAGAATGGGAACTTATTGACCGAAAATACAGGTAGGCTCAATTACAACCTGGAAGTTTTTTCTTATTTCATAAGTTAGGGGATGGCCAGAGTTCATCATCAAATGCAGGTAAACATATTTTATGCATTATTATTATATAAAAAGCTTCTTTCGATTCCTACATCAAGACGAGACTTCTGAATTGGGGATCAATAATACTGTTCAGCCTTTTGTCTTGAATTATACAAAGACTGTGCTTTACACTTCCAGTTGCTATTCGTCCGGAATATGATTGACGGGCCTATGCTTATGATTGAAGATATGAAACGTCAAGAGAGGTAGAATAAGTTTAAGCAAAATCTTTACGCCGGCCAATCTTTATTTCAAGATATGGTTGGGGATCAATATAAATTCGAAGTCATCATGACTTCTCATAAAGAACATTTCATCCAGACTTAATATCATACTCTCACAATTAGGCTCAGCTTTCAGGCTCGATGAGAGAACGGAAAAGAATGTTTTTCAAAAACAATGCATTTCAATCTTGAAGTGACATGATATGACATGAGGTTGAAGCTGTAGTCGGAGGAAGCTCGGTAGAGCAGTTGAGGGCGAATTAAGCGACTGGCCCGTGCGCCGTCGTCATTGTTTATCAACTTTCGCGCTCCGCATCATCAAGTGGAATCACAACAATCCAAAGGCGCTTATGATACCCGGCGCATGACTAATTCAGGGACAAACACCAAGAACCTATGACCACGAACGACTCCACAAACCATTGAGAAAAGTACTGTACTGTAGCATCAATTCGTATCAACAACCTACCCCGCGAGTAACGACCAGAACACCCCACGGTAAACATCATGGCCGCCAGCAACCTCTCGACATACTCCGATTGCGTCTCCTCTCTCCGCACATCCCTTAAGTTCCTCGAATCCTCCGTTGAGACTCTTGATAATGGCGTCTCCGATTTTCCCCGTCTAGTCAACGTCCTCAAGACCGTCCGCGTAAGTCTCTCCACTCACCTTACGTTGCTTCTACTTACACCTCGCAGCACTACGAACTCATCCCACAGCCCACTCTCGCTGCAGCCGAAGCCTCACTACGCGACGAAATTGGCCCGTATATTGCCCTTCTTCTTGCCCGCGCGGACTCCCAGATCGAGCGCCAGGAGCGTCGCATCGAAACACTCAAAGCCCGCGCAGAGCTCCAGCAGGGTCGTTTATCCCGCCCGGACGATGACTACGACGAATACGGTGGAAAGTCTAAGAAGCAGAGAACCGGGAGTCGTAAGTTAACTGCAGAGGAGAAGCTCCGCGCGCGAGCAGTTCGGCAGCGCAAGGAGGCTCTGCGTTATGGTGTTGAGAGATTAGAGCTGGAGGTGCTACAGAAGGAGAGGGAGCTCAGGAAGAGATTGGAAGGGTGAAAAGTCAAGGCGGTATTGAGTTCCAGAAAAACGACAAACGAAGAAACAGCTCAACGGAGGCACTATGGAATATGGTCCTTCTGTGCAGCGAGATCTCCAAGGCGACGCATCATGTCCAAGAGGCCGAGACGTGAAGTCGCACCGATCAATGAGCAAGCCAGGTGGGATTGGCACCGGGCACATACCGGCGTCGTCAACATATCAAGCAATGCCATCCCCCCTCAGCGACAAACACGCGGAATGCAGCCGGAGGATTATGTACTGAGTTCAAGATGAACTTAGGGCAAGTGGTTGCTTTAACTTGGACACGACCCAAGCTCCAGAACGGTACGTCGTCTAGTCTCAGGTAGGCTAGATTAGACATGTCATTGATACCCGGTTTTTCAAAGAAACTGCCACGCGTTCCTGAGTAAAACCTTGACACCACATGCATTGGTCTCAATGGCTGTTGAATGGTCCCGCCAGTTGCAGATCCTAAATTTAGCCCCAGCCCAACCTCACAATTGATGAATTCGAGGATTCAGTTCGCATTCCAATAATCATCGTGTTCACTAGGTCGAAGGGATACCTTGATCCCTCGTCGTTGTAACTACAGCTTGCTTGGTACTATTCATATCTGCACCTGACCAACCCAGATCCATTGACAAAATATAACCCCTTCCATACAAAGCCCAGCCTGCTCGCAGGTCCAGTAGCACGTTTCCTCGTAAACTTACTGCCCGACGACCCGGTGTGGCTGCGGGCCTATGCCACTCCGTCAGAGGGTGAGAAACCTTAACCGAATGAAATATCGTGGTTTTCCGAGGATAATAGATAAAGCGAAGAACAACAATAAGTGAGGACAGTAGAAAAGAAGACATTCAAAGTGAAAAGAACAGCCTAGTTGCAGGCGCCGTGGTCCGAGGTATAACACAAAGGGGTTTTTCGTCCCAAATATACTCCATCCAACATATTTCCCATCCCAGTGCTGAAACCAAATCGCCGAGTCGTGACTCTAAAAACGTTAAAATGCGACAAACAATGAACGAGCAGCCCGTACGTGGGTCTGACGGTGTTCGACGGGCGATATATCGCACATCGCCGAACGGGTATCCCGGGGAATCCATGCATGGATCATTGCTCATAACAGGATGAGGTAGTTGCTGGGCGCAATACCCGTCTCGCCGCTCTCCTTGCGCGCTTGCCACCACCTTCCGCTAACATCTGATACTTCGAGGATCTCGTGCTTGGAGAATGAAATTTCGTTGGCGTCATCCGGGTTGGCCTCGTAGCTGTAAATGGCCTTTGCTCTATAGGGATATTCAGTGGGTGGCACGACCTCGGTGTCGTTGCCGGGAGAGTTGTTTGGCTTGGCTTGCGGTGGTTGTTGTTGCATAACTGAGTTGGTAAAGCTTTGGGGGACTGCTGATCCGCGTGCTCCCCCGACCTGTGAGATACCTCCCACAGGTGATGGGTTCTCAAAACCATTAAGCTGAGCGGAAGTGTACATCTGAGGGGGTTGGACCGAGTTGGATGTCTCAGGGCGGCCACCGTAGGCGTTCATAGTAGATCGATGAATCGTAGTGGATTCTTTGGCGAGGGCGAATGAGTCAAGGAAAGCTCGGGGAGTTGAAGAGGGGCTGGATCCAAAGTAAAACGTCCAAATAACCTGACTCTTTATTAGATTTTCGCCTGAAGTCAATCTGGAATACAACTCACGATGACCATGGCCAGCAGAATAAAGCCAGCAGAAGCAGCCTCGCGGGCGCCGCTGTTAGAGTAAAGGAGCTGGTTGATTCCGGACGAAACGAGAACAATTCCTGCAGCGAGATAACCAGTCACAGCAACGTGGTAGGTATGAACTGCATCGCTTCCAATGACGACAAAGACGCCGACAATCAGGCATAGACAGTAGATGCAGCTCCACCACACGAAAGTTGGGAAAGGGTCGTTCTTGGCAAGGTCGGCATCGCTATTTTGTTGTATCCGTCCAATAATACAGGAGACAAAGGTGATAAACCAGGCGAGCTGCAAAGGTCAATTAGTTGAAGGGCTGTGACGGGGCGCAAGAGGAACGCACCGTGCTAATGGAGAGCGTGGCCAGGGCGAAGGGGTCGCCGAGGATGTTGCTCATTTGAATGCCCTTGCGCTGGCCATACATTCTTGAGTGATCCATTTTCTGAAGCGAGGGAGAGTTGAGAGAATACGATGGCATAAGGAACTTCGGTGTCGAACGAGCTGGCGATCGAGGCTGATGCTAAAGTGAGGGCACGCGCTTTCTTCGTTGGTAATGGTCGGTTGACAAACAGGCGTAAGCAAGACTCGATTGCTACCGGAGCATTCGTCGAAGGAAGAGCGATGTAAAGCGAAGAGGCTGTGCCGGAATCGATTCGTTGCAGTGCTGTGCAGAGCCAAGCGAAGTGAAACAGTGTCGATCGTTTGTAGGATTTCGGTTGGCGTAAGACGAGCGGGAGGTCGCGACAGATGAGGAAAGTCGAAAGACAGGAAATAGGTAGGTAATAATAAGAAGATCGAAAAGAAAGGAGTGGAATGACCCAAGCTCGCGGTTGAGATAAAAGATTACCTTAGGTGAGTGGATTCAGTGGGAGGGAAAGGAAGAAAAGAAGGAGAGGGTGGAAATGATTGAATTGAATTGAACGGACGGTTTGAAATGGGAAGAGAATGGACAGATTGAGTGGATGGGATGGGCGGGATGCGCTGGCTGCGGGTGAGAAGGGGGAAAAACGCGGAGACAAGGGGCAACCCAGTCCAGTCCAGTTCAGTTCTAGCCCAGCGAAAGACCGGGGACCTTTTTACAATGGGCACAGAAGGTTCAGTACGCTCGAGATAGTGGATATTGCGGCGTGATGCAACTGCTGAACAAAGTTGTGAGGAGCCCGAGTCGATAAACGTGGTCGAGGAAATTGTGATGGTGAAAACAATAACAACAGCCCGCCCGTGCAACTTGTGCAAGATACAAATACGCGCGGCTGTTATGAGGAACAACAAGTGGCTGTCGAGTACAGTTCTGTGCTGAATGAAAGCCACTGCCACCCCAATGAGTGTTGCAACGAATGAGAAGTAATGGCCGTACTGTACTTCTTGGTAACCAGACCAGTAACAAGGTACCGCCGTGTGTAGCGTCGCAGTGGCAGACGTGACGCGGTCACAGTCAGACAGGAAGGGCACGGAATCAGGGGAAGGGAGAATTGAAGCACAACCAGGGCCTGATCCAGCAGCAAGGGCAGTCTTGGCCCGATTCCGGTTCGTATTGAGACCGTGTGACGAATTGAAGAGGGAGGTATATCAATCAATGATATAGAAATGAGTGAATTTGGTTGCCAGGAAAAGAACTCGTCGAAATAAAAGATGATGAGATTTCAGGAATCGATGGAAAGTTAATATGACCAGTGGGTGTCGTTCAGGTTCAGGGCCTCAAATCCACTATAGAGTTCCCTGCGGCTGTGCTGGGCCCCAGGCTATCGGGAAATGAAAGGCAGACGATGGTTCCGGGTGCTCTGAGCAAATCAAATCATGCCCTGCCCCCTGTTGTCTGTGGCGCTTCGTCTGCTCGTTGGCTCGGGCCCAAGTTCAGGGCTCTGGAGAAGCTGTCGTGACCGTGACAGGGTGGATTTTGCAAAGAGGGAGAGAAGCCGGACAAGTTTAACAAGCCGAGTCCGTGATTGGATTAGAGACGATAGAGAGCAATTGTTTCGTTTCAATGTCTTGCTTGTTGGTGGTGACTTATTGGTGTCGATATTCGTTACAGTACTTTCAATATTCAAGATGAGAAATGGTAGCAGCCAAAGCTGTGTATAGTGCAGGCAACCTTCAACTTATTCTGGCATGTTCAGCTGCTATCACTCATCCAGGCTCTCGCAGGAATGGATGATACTGTGACTATTGTCCAGTGAAAGTTAGAGTAAACACTGTCTTGGAAACCCCAGCCTACCCCAGCCGACATCATCACGTTAAACGCGCCCTGGACAGGAATTCTGTCTGACTCGTCTCCAAAGCAGTCAGCCCAGTTCAACAGACTGTGGCTGCAAAATACCTCGATCCACGGCAACACCGTCCATGTGCTTTGCGAATTGACCTATTTTGCCCCGTCTTGTTTGAGGTTCGACTAGGGTCAAGTCTAATGCGGGTTATTGGCTCGCTGTGAGGCCAGAGAAGCGGCCTTGACTCCATCGCAGGAGTTTCATCGATGCCGTCCCGGCTGGTCAAGCACAGGGCCACAGTTCACGAATTCCGCGCATTCATACAAGAGGAAATGTTGACCAGAGGCAGATCAACTCAAGCAGGGCTCGCGTGCGCCTTCTTGAAAGATGCAAGACATTGGATTTTATCATTGAGTGGCTGGTATTTAACCCGAATAAAGCACTAATGTGAAACATTGAGTGCGCTCTGCCTCGTGACAACCATTCAAATGTGGTAGACTTTTTCGGGCTGTTTCAACACAGAAGTTGAACTTTTAATTCAATGTTGTCCGAGCTTTCTTCTCAAAAAGATCTGATATTGATGCCTTGCAATTGCTTGCATCAGACCCCAGCGACAGCTGATCATTCTAAACCGGTTCCGTTAGATCGGCACAGCTAATCGCTACCGTTGCGGATCTATCATCTTTTCTCGGTGGACTCTGTCCTCCTTTCATGACAGCGTCACGAAGTGATCATGCTCAATCCTTGAGTTTACTCTTTCTTGCTATAATCAAGTTGCCATGCCCTGCTAGCCCCTGATGTGATACTTACCTGATTCAAGCCAGCAGCGCGCCACCTCAGGTATCTTCAACAATGCCAAACCTGAATTTTCAGTTCTTGTCCTACACTTAAACCCAACTTGTGACCGGCTGCCTCACTACCCGCCAAGGGCTCTGACAGGCCCAGAGTCACGATTCATCCCATGTTGCACAACCTTTTGTGTCTTTGCCGACAAAAACCTGCCAAGGGCTTTTCTTTGAAACTTTACTTAACCCCTGTCACGGAATGGGATTTATCCCCCTGGAACCACCAAACTCAACGAACGATAAGCCGCACAGCCACGGATTTTCCAATCCGATCGATCTTCATGACGTTCAGTGTCAAAGGCTTGCTTTGCCATGTTCATCGACACGTGGCTTCTCTTCCTTTGTCTTGACGATCGGCTGCGCTACAAAGCAGATCGTTTGATGACAGCGCAGCATCGTTTATGGAGCTGCTCCATTTGACAAAAAGCTTGGGCTGAGGCCCTGTTCCAACGGTCGCTGGTGTTGCTGATCACCTGGACTTCCCGGGGCTAGCGTCCGTGTATCAGGGCCGGTTATGGCCAAGGGCCCTGTGATATCTCTTGCTTGAGGCTCATCGTGAAGAACGTGGGATGTTGTTGAATGTGGTGAAAGGTACCGCCCATGAGACGCCTTACACGGTAGTGTTTGCACATGTTCTTTTGCTACCGATTACATGACATGAAACTAGACTACGCAGCTAGCGCCAGGTACGACTCAACAGCTCAAAGCTTCAGACGGATCCACGATCCACTCGCGATCATGTGAGTTGTGCCGGAGAGATATTACCTAGAAGTTGCGTAGTACAACCTGGAATTAGTGAAGCCGAACGACACGACAATGCCTTAGGGAGCGCTTCCAAGCTGGCAACTCCAGAATCCGAGGTTTTCTAACACACCTGTTACATGTGCTCAAACCGTTTCACGTCTTGACATCTCTTGGTAGCAACAATCATAGGAAGCTTCACAAAGGATGACGTATATAAACTGGCTGCCAAACCAATCGCGGGTCTATGGACTGTTTGAATAGAGCAGCTAGAACGCATATCTTCTAATACGGAATTGGCTCGAGTTAGAAGATATGTATCATGTCCAGCTTGCGAAACCTCAAGTCCCTTCTTCACCCTCATACTATCACTCTTCATTCCTACACCTTGCTGAATTATTCCAATGAAGGTTAAAATTCGTCATCTCATGCAGTATCACGATCTTTTCAAAGTCACATTGGTTTAGATATTACCACTTATTGATTCAGCCACGAGACAGCAAAACAGTATTGAAACACATTTCGGGCATTGAAGACGGAAAACTGAGGTTTCACTAGTGAATAAAAAGATTGAAGTTCAAAAAAAATGTATAGTATCTAGGTTTTGGATCGTCTTCCACATGAAGCTGTAAAGAGATGTAGTCACTATGATCGCGTGGGCACCAAGTCGGCGTATCAAGTTCCGAAACAATCCTCCTACACTTTATCAGCCCTCGATGATATACTGTCTGCTCAGGTACAAAGACAGCCTTTAACTCGGCACCTAGAACAAAGAACAGTTTCAATGTAATGGCCACGAAGACGATCGTCAGGATATCCTGGCAGTAGACTACTGCAAAATTAAAAGCAAAACGTCAGTTGCATTAAACGGGAACTGGGCATAAGATTGCGATGCTCATACCCACTGCTTCGAGCTAGGGTTGGTATTGATATTAAGGTGGGACTTCAAGAAGGAATTCATGGCTAATCTGGATGCAATCTATTACAAAGTCGGGGGGAAATCAAGACTCGATCTCCTCTTCATGATATGTCAAGTACAAACGATGAGCTGACTGGGCGATGTTGATACAGCTCAGCCTCACCTGCAATCATGTCCTGCAACACCCCTTCCTATAGGACAGGCTCTGAAAAAGAAGTCAGCCAAAACGAATAGCTAACTCTTTGACTTGCTGACGTCGAACTCGAATGCATCGTTGAATGAATATATTGGGCCACCGGCGCAGATGATACGTATGGGTTGTATGTACTTCTACTTGCCCATTACCAACAGGTCTAAATCAACCAATTTCTTAATTTCAAGGGTATCTTTGAACATGTTTTCATAGCTCTTCTTCAGCTTCCAACTCTCGCTCCGCCCTCCTCACCTGGCGTTCAACAACCTTCACACGGGACTCGAGATTGGCCATTGTCTTTGAGTTATCAAGAATACCTGTTTCGTACCAGGAACGAACCGCGATTTCACTCCTTTGTCTCAGGTCGGCTATCTCAGCAGCTTGCGCGATTTGAGTTGCTTCGATTGCTCTCATTCTATCCTGCAATGCCACAAGCGCTGCGCTATCCGCAGGATCTGGAATCGGACTGTCTTTGATCGCGGTAAGGGACGATAGAGTCGCAGGAAAGGCGGATGCTGAGGCTAGAACAATGGATTGGAGTGCATCGATGTCCAGCTGTGATGGTGGCTCTGATGGGTCGGACGAATGAAAGAAATCGGGGTGAGCTCTGTCTGACAGGGGGTCAGTATGGATTGAGAACTATAAAATATTCCTGATACATACAGATCTTCATGAGCTCGTGGTAAACGCGGACATCGGACAGGAGCATCGAGAAACGTCGCTCTAGCTTGTTGAGCTGGCTAGCCGCCGACTGGTCTTGAGCCAGCGCTGGTGATTGGTTCTGGCCATAGAGGAGATGCTCGATACGGAGAAGTCGCGACTCCAATAGATCGAGCGTAGAAAGAGTTGTTTCGTCCATATTGGTGGCCATCGTGACAGCGAGCGCGCGGCACAAGCGCGGGACCTAAAGGTGAGGTAAGGTGAGGTACAGTACGGCAGAAGAATGACGGAGTGGATGCGGTCAAGGGCCAAAGTGGGGGGTCAGGAGGATGTCATGAAATTGTGAGACCTGCAGAATCATGGTCTTTGTTGTCGCAAAAAGCGGCGCATTTTGTTTGGAGAATGTGAGAAAGGAAAAGGAAAACTGGATTGAAGTAATGTTAGACTTTATCCCCTAGTATTAGATATGTAAACTTGTCGAATATCAAGCCACTACTCTTTATCATAAGGACGTTGCAGAACTATATACTCTTCGTCTCATATGCCCCTGGCAAGCCCTGAAGTTATTCCCCAGATTAGGATCATGGCTTGTCAGAAAAGCCCAATGATTCGCCAAATCATCATCTTGGCGCGCGCTCATTGGCCGCATGAGTTCGGCAAAACCCTCCAGCAGCTCCCCGTCATTTATTTCAAGGATCGTGGCAGGAGAAGAGACCCAACCAGGCACTGTCAGGAATTCGTACTAAACCATCTCCTGACTGTTTCTTCTTCCTCCTGCATCTCAATCATCCACAACAGCCTCGTTGGCACTTCGCTCGTGACTTACTGTTTTGGTCTGTCGTGATCGGACGGGAGTGTTGAACTGTTTGTTCGTCAGGGGCCTTTGTGCCGCGGGACGGTGCAGTACCAACCAGCGACCGGATTGACGCAATCAGGCCTAGGGCTGCTGGCCTACCAACTTTCCGCCTTTCCGCCTCGTGCCTAGTCAGCAATCGGATTAGGATCCCGAGGAACGCAGCGATAACGAACATACATACCTCCAAAACCTACGACGCTACATAACAGCAGAAGGACGCATAACCTAACTACACTTAGCTTTACCCCTCGCGATCGCGCCGAATCCTCGACGAGTCTACACCTTATCGCCGTGTAATGACGAACTACTCTACAATATCTGATGGAAACGCTTCTCTATTTAGAAGTGCCGGCGACATGTCAAGGTGAGGCGATCTCGCTCTGCCTACACCGATTGAGGGAACATCATCACTGACGAAAGATCTCTCAGACCTCGACGTCGTGGTCAAAAGGATGGCGGCCATGGAGGCCAAGCCACCACGATCAGCAGTGTCGTAAACCTGCTAAATACAAGTACGTTCGCTATCTCTCTTTCTCTGTGGCACGTGCTGACACAGGATGCGCAGTTGTTGGAGCTGGCACTCTTGCCATGCCCTCAGTTATGTCACATATGGGTATCATGTTGGGAGTGGTGCTGATACTGTGGTCTGGATTGACTGCCGCTTGCGGTCTTTACCTACAATCTCGATGCGCCCGATATCTCGACCGAGGAACTTCATCCTTCTTTGCCTTGTCGCAAATCACCTATCCCAACGCCGCCGTTATATTCGATGCTGCAATTGCAATTAAGTGCTTCGGAGTTGGCGTGTCTTACATGATTATCATCGGAGATCTTATGCCTGGCGTGGTGTTGGGCTTCCTCAGCAACGCCAACAGCGCTCCGTATCTGGTTGATCGAAACTTTTGGATCACCGCATTTATGCTTATTATTATTCCTCTGAGCTTTCTGAGGAGGCTGGACTCATTAAAGTATACCAGCATTGTTGCGCTGGTCTCCATCGGGTATTTAATTGTTTTGGTGATCTATCACTTTGCATCCGACAAGCACGCCGACCCTGGTAGTATCAGAGTGATCCAGTGGGGCGGAGCTATTGAGACATTGAGCGCTCTACCAGTCGTTGTGTTTGCATATACTTGCCATCAGAATGTATGTCAAACTTGTTCAAGTTCATGATCCAGCTAACACAGTTAGATGTTCTCCATCCTCAACGAACTGAAGGATAACTCACCATCAAGCATTATTGGAGTTGTTGGCACAAGCATTGGCTCTGCTGCGTCCATTTATATTGTTGTGGCTATTACTGGTTACCTTACTTTTGGCAATGCTGTTGTGGGCAACATAGTTTCCATGTGTACGTTTACCCCTCGCCAATATTTGCATAAGCTAACCAAGGCAGATCCCACTGGAGCTGCTTCAACAATCGGAAAAGCCGCCATTGTTGTACTAGTCACTTTCTCGGTTCCTTTGCAGGTTCACCCATGCCGAGCTTCACTAGACGCTGTATTGAAATGGCGACCAAACCGCAACTCGTCGAGTAACGGACGAACCGCAACACCATTACTCCCAGCATCCCCAGCCGGCGATCATGGAAGCACTGCCCCGATGTCTGACCTCCGGTTCGCTGTGATCACTACTTTCATTCTCACCTTCGCCTATATGACTGCTCTCTCAGTCACTAGCCTTGATCGTGTCCTGGCCTTCGTTGGCAGCACTGGTTCAACATCTATCAGTTTTATTCTCCCAGGTCTCTTTTATTACAAGATCAGTAACCCAGATAGCATACATCACCAACGACTGGCCAAGGAAGACGATGATATCGACGAGGACACACCCACCTCAGATGTTGAGGACTCTGCTGCTCTGGCTCAGAGCACAACTAGTGTTCGCAGTGGTGTGAGCATTGCTAGCAATGCCAGCACCCGCAGCAGCCGAAACTCCTGGCGTTGGAGACGCAAGTGGCGATGGGATCTCGAGCATATCGAACACCATCATCTGCGTAGACTCGCCCTCGCACTTGCGATATACGGATCTGTTGTCATGACCGTGTGTCTTGTTCTCAACATTTTCTTTGCTGTCACTCATTAATTATATCATTTTCTCTTACGGCCTCAGGGATGACAATATTGGATATAGGCGTTGTAAGAAGGGGCACATGATGTTTTTCTCAGCGTCTCAGCTTCAATAGACGGCTTAAACTTAGTTAGACATGGTATTGGGTAGTGCTTCAATACAATTACAATAGCGAAAAAATGGATTGGTCGTCGTGATTTGAACCCTTCAAACAAACATCATACAGCTTTCCCCAGTTGCTACACAGGTCTTTGATCCAGTAGCATGCCCGAGCCCCCAATACTCCTCGAGATTGATACGGCTCTCTGTTTTTGTCGACTCTATCTGAACTTCGTGATAGCGTCCCCAAACCAACGCCCAGAGATGCCTTTTCGTACATATCATACAACCCCCTGGGCCACTTATCGAATCCTGACCTTCTCCTGGTCCACAACACCCTTTGTGTTGTCTTGTTTGGGGCCAAATTGCTTCTTTGGTAGAATTCCCACCATGGATAGTAACCTCCAGGCTGTGTCCGTAGGCTGTGCACCAACACCGATCCAATACCTCGCGCGTTGACTATCGAGCTTGATGTCTTTATGAAGTTTTCCGGATGTGTCGTAAGGGTCGGGTTTAGGAATTGGGTCGTATGTGCCGATGACCTCGAGCGGACGGGAGTTACGAGCCGTCCTAAATACCTGTTAATGGTGCTCTCAATTGAACAGATATCATGCATGGGCTGACGCACCGGGCGTGGGCAATGACAATATTGTAGAAGGGCTGGTTTCGGCGCCCAAATCGGGCGAGACGGATCTTGACAACCATGGCGGCGATATGGGGGACTTGAAGACCACGATTAAAGCAATCACCAGTTGCTGAAGGTTGGGACAATTTCGACACGGAGCCGGGGGTTATTTTCGCCGATGTTGCTTGATCACCCGGAAGATGGTGGGGTCGGCCGGGAATAGTGTGGCTATCCAAATGGAGCTCCAACGTGATGAAACACCTCTTACCGAGTGATGTCAGTTCTTGACCCCCTGGACATTTCAACCATTCCTGACTGACGACATTTTCGAAATCACCCAACTTTCACATCTTTCGAACGCATACGGCATCTGGTTTTCACTGAGACTTTTGCAAATATTCATCGATTACTATCAAGAGCACAAGATTCAAAGGCATTATGGCGATCAAGGTAAGTCATAGGTACTCTCATATAGCTCTTCGCTCATTCATTGATCGTTTTAGACCCTCGGAGCCAAAGCTGCTGCTGCTCTTGATCAGGAGCTCATGAGCACTGGAGCGTTCTCCATTGACCAGCTCATGGAGCTCGCTGGACTTGCTGTTTCGCAAGCTGGTTAGTGACTTTACCTTACATGGGCCTTTGACTATAAGATTTCACTTTGGTCTCACAAAGCTCATGCCATCGATGGACTGCTAACATCATAAGTCTATCGCCTGCAGCCTCTCGAGAGTGGCCGTAGGATCCTTGTCGCGTGTGGACCTGGAAACAACGGTTGGTGCTTTCTTCTTACCTGCAAATACCATGAATCCTCACTAACAGCATCAGGTGGTGATGGACTAGTCGCTGCTCGTCATCTTCGTCAGTATGGTTACAATCCGAGCGTCTTCTATCCCAAACGAAGCAAGAATGATCTCTATCAGGTAGGTAACCAAGAAAATCTGGTTTTCACTGTTTTTCACCATGAAAGTCGCATGACGTTTTGTTCGTAACATTGCTGCGATCTTGCAGCTATGTGCTTCTCACAATTATCTTGTCGGTTTTCTACCAGTACTGCGGGAATCGTTGAATGGTAACAACCGGTGTACCGGAAAATGGGTGTACCCAGCCTTTCAAACACGTCCCGTCTCGATTCCATATCCGACAGCTGAACAGTTGCTGATACTGGTCCCAGCGACTCGCAAAACAACTTGAAGACCTTGAGGTCCCTTTCGTGGATGATTTCTCCTCGGCGCTGAACTCGACGGATCATGTTGTCGACGCGATCTTCGGTTTGTATATGAACTTTTTTCGATAGCGATAATCTCTGACCGTTCAACTAGGTTTCAGCTTTTCAGGAGAAGTTCGAGAACCATTTCCTGCTGTGATTCAAGCTCTCCAAGACACGAAGCTGCCAGTCACAGCAGTTGATGCTCCCTCATCCTGGGATATCGAAGATGGTCCACCAAAGTCGGGACTTGGCAGTTCCTTCATGCCTACAGCACTTATTAGCCTAACGGCACCAAAGCCACTAGTGAAGCATTTCAAAGGCCGACACTTTATTGGCGGGCGGTACGTACCAATC